GGCAAGTGTAATCTGTGGAATATAATGGCAGGAATTACACGACGCTTTACGTCGGTGTTACTAATTATCAAGTTTATTTGTAAGTACATTTTGTATTCAATCTTCAATGCTCGATTCCTAATGTGTCTATGTACTTTATTCCGTTTAACCGATGATAGTTGAATAAACAGGATGCCACCAATCACACTCGCCTATATTGATTTACAAATACAAGTAAACCTTAAATATAGATCAATCAATTAATTATTAAATATTGTCAAAGTATAATACGTATTCACTGGGTCAAAGTAACTGCGAAATATTTACAAATCAAAAAAGTAAAACAAATGGATACCAGATAATTGATAGTATAGTACGCAAATATTGTAAAAGTATGTAATACCAAAGTTGTGGACCATCTAGAAGTCACAATTTTTATCTGATAGTCATGCATTCGGCCCCTGATTGCACAAAAACCCATTATTTTTAGCTTGATCTCTGTCCATCTCTTGCGAAATCTCCCGTGATCTGGAAAAACCTAGTAAATCGATATTTGGTGAAAATTTAGTTAGTCACAAATTTGGACTTTCTAGGCTTTACCCCAACTTTTTATTAAGTTAAAGTGTGTGAAACTCTTCAATATTGTCAGTTACGCATCTGACAGAACCCAGTAAGTCAGCAAGTTTCAAGCAATTCATGCAAATTTATCCAAAAAAAACATAGCAAGTCAACTTGCTAGGCTTTACTAGGTTGTTGCTAGGTATGAACCAGTCAGATTCGTTCATTAGTATTGTAGTTCCTATCTGATTCTGTTGAATTCTATTCTTGATTTTAGCAATAAAGACATAGTGAATATCAAACTAGGTAACTAGGTTGTTGTTGATGAAAATTCTTGGTTGTACATCAACCTAGTAAGTCGTTATATAACCAGATTATGCAGGTAATTTTGATAAAAACTAATGCACTGGAATTACTTCATATCATGTACACATGAAAAGCCAAACTCAAATTTATCTGCTTTACAGCAGCTTAATCCTGGACCAAAACAGTTTTCCTTCGTTTTCTCAAATTCATGTTCGACTGACTTACTAGGTTTTTCCAGATCACGGGAGAAATGTGGGCGTATCTGGCCTGGCAACCACTGGTACAATTGTCTAGTGACGTTTTCAAATTTTTGGATGGTAAACCTTATAAGAAAATGCACATTTTGTGCCATTTTTAGCTACAGTTTACATGTGAAGTTTCCAGGGGAAGAACGATCTAAGTCACATTTTTATCTTTATCGCATAAAAGGCAAAACAGACTTTTGGACGACAACAAAGAGAAGGTTTAATTACAACTTCAAAATGATACGAATCATAATTGCCAGTACAACAACTGACTTAAATGTTACGGCCAAATTAAGGTCAAATAAAGGGTATGATGGACGTATTTGTCCGGGAGGCCATTTCAGAAGGGCCTTTAATTGGTTCGATGTGACTGATCCGATCGTTTTTACCTGAAATTGATTGTTCCACAGAAAGCTTATACAATTTGCTACGAGATGTCGCCATTAACTGGGGTTCGTTGAAACAGTGACTTAGATCGTTCTTCCCCAGTGCTCTTCATGTAGTTCACAATCAACTGGACTGTTTTCGGGTGTTATGCGAACGGGACATCAACTACCCACCAGATTGACAATAGGGTTAAACAATGTCCGAGTCAAAGTTACGGCGAAATACTTACTGATCGAAAAGGTAGAATGTAAAACAAACGACTACAAATAATTGACCCGAAAGACAATTTCAAATTTTTTCATGCGAAATAAATTATATCAAAAGTTCATATTAGAAGAAAATATACCACGACGTCGGCATGCAAAATCCAAAAGTTGATGAGTTTGGTGACTGAATAGTTCACGTGTTTTTATTATTTTATAAGGTCTGTCATTGAGTCATGTGGCTTGGTTTCGATTCCTCTCTTATACGTGACAAGGAGTAGGGTTGCCGGTCCAATCTTGTGGGTTTTCTTTGGGTCCTCCCAAAGCTAAAGAACCCTACGCGGTAGCGAATTATTGAAATAAAATCGAACCATGTTAGTCCCGAAATGCCCTAGTTTGTGTCGAGTGGACGTTAAACCCCATAAACATCTTCAGAGTAGACCAGAACTACCATGCCTTTCGTAATATTTGTAATTTGTGTATGCATCCGTTAATACTGCATGAATAGTCTGCTTATTATGTTATATATTAAAGGTGTAACAGGTGAAATAACAATAGATCCCGATCCATGGATACAAGGTGGTTCTTCAAATTTAACATGTATGACTTCTAATTATGCTGTAATTAGTAAGCATGGTGTAGAGATAACTACTTGTGTTGTATCGTCAAACTGTGTTATTACTCCTGATTCAACTACATCCCCTACCAAATACAACTACAACAGATACTATACAGTTAGTACAACTAGTAACAGAGTCACTATTAATATAGCTAATGTATCTAAAGACAGGGACAATGGTGTGTGGAAATGTCAAACACCGGCACTCCCGGTCAATATAACCATAAATCTGACAGGTAAGTGCATTATCTATTGCATTTATATTACCACCAGTCGAAAGGTGACAGTATCTGGATAATATTATGCAGACATGACAAAAAGATAATCATTGTTTGTATACACCCACATTTTTATGTGTACGTATATTGTCCTCGCCCCTGTCCGTCGGTCGACGATTTGTTTGTGAACAGTCTACAGGTATTATTTCTTTCGATTTTAAGGAAACTTGAAATATAGGTTTATCTTCCAAAATTCTGCGATTCCGTAATGATAAAAACGATACCTGGAATTGTTAAAGATCTTTATACAAAAACTCCTGACCAAATTTGGTTGCTTTATCTACAAAATTGGGGGTATGTGAGGTTGTCGGATTTTGAGCTACTTTGTTTGTGTACAATTTGGCTAAATAGTGCATTTTCTGCTGAAAATGACAGTTGTTGATGGTGAACGTTGAACTGTGTTTTAAACATGTTAGTTATGTCTAAACATGATAAATAAATGTTCCATTTAAATCAAATGCTGCTAACTCTTGAATTATTCCAAGAAAACTGAATTTTGCTATTTTTGCCGACTGGCGTCAAGTCATTTATCATTAAATTGGCCCAAAAAATGTACTTGGTCTGGGAGTGCTACCCAGGTTTTTTTTTCAAGCGTCGCAACATATAGAACAGGAAAATCCAAAGTGTCGCCGTAAAAGAGAAATGTATACATGACTGTAAGAGATGAAGATGTATTTGTATATACATGAAAAAAAAAGATTTATTATTTAACTCTAGGTTTCAGTTGCTCTGGCAAAATTGTTTTTTTAGCATGTTCGCTAATCGATTTCATTGGGAAATAAAAAATATAAATATAGGTTAGAAAAAAAAAATATATACAACTATTTTAACTATATATTAATTATTATTCAGGAAACCTTTGCGACTATATGTCACATTGTAGGCGTTTCTGTATTAGTAAATGTTTTTTGTTTCTTTCTATTTTAATCATTCTGTTATATGCGTGTTATCTGTATTATGTCACAAAAAATCTAATATCTCTGTAAAAGATGACTGCCTTCAACACGTGACGTCCCAGCACGCGGCGTCAATCATTGGCTGAATGGCGCATGCATGGTTTACATAAGACGTTACTAGTTCGGGCCATTTACACTAAATAGGAAATAATATTTACCTACCGATACTCCAAACGTCGTTATTTATTTTTCTAATACATAAAAACATGTTTTAGAATTTAATTTGTCGGAGGAAAAAAGTTAATATTTGTGGCTCATTAAGTCGCATCGATGCCATCCTTTTTCAGTGCAGATTGTTCGGCGTGGTTCTCCCTTGTCAGTGATGCAGGACAGAGGGCCTGAAAATTACAGTTGTCTAGTCGTTCGGATTGGACGAAAAAACGAGGTCCCGTGTACACATTGGTGTGCACGTAAAAGATTCCTTGACAGTTGGAATTCGATATAAGAGTAGGCCATAGTGCCACTGTCCGGGCAAATATTCCCTCATAGCACACTGTATGGCGTATGCCCGTATTCATTAGCCCAGTTCGGAGCAGAACAGTAAGACTTTAAACCCCATTTCATTTCCTTCCCTTTTCAGTGCCTGTATTGGCCAAGAAGGTTCATCCAGGTTTTCCGGCGTGGTTTCCCCTTGTCAGTGATGCAGGACGGAGGGCCTGAAAAGGACAGCTGTCTAGTCATTCGGATGAGACAAAAAACCGAGGTCCCGTGTACACATTGGCGTGCACGTAAAAGATCCCTTGAAAGTTGGAATTCGATATAAGAGTAGTCCTGGATAAGTTAATTAATGTTTAATTGATAATTTAGATAACATTTCAGGCCTAAAGAAAGACTTGTAATAAGCAGATTTTGCTCTTGCATAATGCATGTTTAATAATGTTATTGTTTGCTCTCTCAAAACTGATATTTCCACATTTATTTCATAGCTAAAATTTATTTCTTATCTTTATTTTCATCGACATATAAAACAACTAAAAATCGTTTCACCTTTTAGTAGCTGCTGATTTTGCCGTCGGTAATATATGGTAGATAAAACAGCTAATATTGACACGGTGGTTACAAGAGCCAACATCACCGATAAACCAACAACAATTATTTTCGTGATAATTATATCTAAGTTTTACTTGGTGCTAGGAATATGTGGGCTAACTTGATCTCGAATCCGGGTGCTGGAATAAGGTGAGAGAATATGTGTGATAACTTGATCTCGAATCCGGGTGCTGGAATACGGGTGAGAGATTCCGCTCGGTGGGAATGAGAAGTTATTATGCTAGTTGATATTGCCGACTTCGACCAGTGGATTTTGTATATTGACCACAGGACGGATAGTATTGTGTCTCAGTCGTCTACTTCCTCCCGGGTTCCTGGTAATACTCCAAATATATGTTTTATTATCAGATATAGTTATACTTACACAGTACAGTAATATCTATAGTTTTATTGTGAGATCTAGTTATACTTACACAGTACAGTAACATTTATAGTTTTATTATCAGATCTGGTTATAGGACTACCATCAGTTGGTACTAGAGTAGTAGTGGCTTCTCATCTATATATACCACCCTGATTCCTGGTAATTCTAGTTATATCAAGTCGTCCATTAGAAGATACATCAACACTACTACCACCTGGTTTATACCATTTAAAGGTTGTTGGTGGTGGATTTGATTCAACGGTACAGATCAACTGTAGGTCGTCATTCTCTGTTTTAGTTACAGAATCAACTGATACCGTTACTATAGGACCCACTGCAAACAAAGAATATAGATATAACAGCCAGTCCACAATTACCCATGGTACCATTCCGTACCACTCCACTAACCTCTGGGCCCAATCAAGGAGGCGACGCATATTCAAATTATCCAACGTTCATAATTGTGCTATTTTTATTGACCTATTAAAAAATTCAATTAATACAAAGTGAGTGGGCGAAGGGAAGTAACTCGTATTTTGTTGCAACTAAGATCACCAAATAGCCGTTGTTAACTTTGTCAATGTATGACACTTCTTTAATATTAAATGTCTAGCAAACTTTCTCACAAATGAACGTACATACTGATGTATTGTGCTGAACGTAAACAAGACAGGTATGTAAACCGTTTTTTGATTGATTCGTAGAATCAACCTCCGTGGCCACTGAAGGACATATATTTTAGTGCAGTAGGACGGAACTATGCGATACAGTGGATAACAGTTACCATGGAAACAGCTATAAAGATATAGTTAAAGTCAGATGATACGGTTTCCATTGGATCGAGAACAAAACAAACAATCTATATAAATGAAATCAAAGATGTCTGTGTATGTTCGCTTATCAAGCTTCGTCGCCGATCTCCACCCATGTGGTAACAAACTAACCAGTCCGACTCCGTGAATGTTTTAGACCACTGAATTTGGGCCATGGACGAAAATTGGGGCACCTGTGAATTTGGTCCAGGGCGAATTTGGCCCATGGGCGAATTTAGACTCCGGGCTAAGCCACGCATCCTACTAGTATACTAAAGATGTAGTTATAAAGTCAAATGATACAGTTGCCATGAGAACAGCTATAAATATGTAATTTCAGATGATATAGTGACAATGACAACAGTTATAATGATCAAGTCAGATGATAAAGTTATCAATGCAATAAACAAAGTTAGAAGCTATTCTGAGACACCACTATTATACCAGATCACTTTGAATTTTAGCCAACTTCCTAATTATACGACAATTGATCACCAGCCGATAAACATTTCAGTAATAGATGGTAAATATAAATAGTTTCTTACAATTACTTACATAAAACATCAAGTTGTACAGGTGTAGATGATCTACCTGGGCCAGCACTATTACTACCTGTACAGGTATAATTATTGCCTGTATCTGATCTCTCTACTGGTTGCATTCTATATATAGATGAACTTTGACCTGGTATCTGTAGTACACCATTCTTATTCCATTTATAAATACCAGACAGCACTGCTAAATCTGAATTGGTTACTTGACAAGTCAACACGAGTTGTCCCCCTTCTATAACTTTATATGGACTGGTTGAGGGTTCTATATGAACGATTGGTCGAACTGGAATATAAATAGAGTCATAGTCGTTATTAAACTGTATAGACGTGGTGATGATTCTAAAATATAGATAAAGTCATAGCAGTTATTAAACTGTATATAGACTGGGTGAGGGTTCTATAATATAGATATCGACATAGCAGTTATTAAACTGTATATAGACTGGGTGATGGTTCTAAAATATAGATATAGTCATAGCAGTTATTAAACTGTATATAGACTGGGTGATGGTTCTATAATATAGATGTAGTCATAGCAGTTATTAAAATGTATATAGTGTGGGTGATGGTTCTATATGTACAGAGCTAGAATATAAATATAGTCAGGGTAATTATTTTGCTGTATATAGACTGGGTGATGGTTCTATATGTACAGAGCTAGAATATAAATATAGTCAGGGTAATTATTTTGCTGTATATAGACTGGGTGATGGTTCTATATGAAGGTTTTATATGTACAGAACTAGAATATCAATGCAGTCATAGTGATTATTTTTCTGTGTATACACTTTACAAGATACAATTTACAGATCTGAAATGACAAATGTCTGATTTGTAAACCAAATATTGAGTTTAAGATACAAAGGTTTGTAGCCTATACAAATGTCAAAATTGTCCATTCCCGGTCAACCAGTAATATTGGTGTAATTTTTGATTCAAATTTTTCTATGGAAAATCATATAAAGAATATATGTAAAATAAGTTATTTTATTTAAGAAATATAAATAAAATACGTAAATATTTGTCAGTGGATGTCACAGTAATAAACTCATCAGTTACTTCTCGGATAGATTTCTTTTAATTCTGTCCTTTTCGATATATCCCTCAAACAGCTTGAAAAAATGCAAAAATCAGTTACTCGCCATATTTCAAGAACATTATACATGGATCATAATGGCTTCTTGTTATTTTTAGAATTGAATATAAGATTGTATTATTAGTTTTTAAATGTATAAATAACATTGCACCTTTTATGTTTGTATGAAACTCGTCGACGATTACGGTCTTCCAATGATTTGATCTTTATTCAGAACAATGGGAGATTAGATAAAGTACGGAAGCGTAATAGGGCCACATATTTTTTATTATTATTCTATTTTCAATTTTTCAAGTTACTAACTTGAATTTTCAAGTTAGTAACTTGAATTTTCAAGTTAGTAACTTGAATTTTCAAGACACTAACTTGAATTTTCAAGTTACTAACTTGAATTCTCAACTTACTAACTTGAATTCTCAACTTACTAACTTGAATTTTCAAGATACTAACTTGAATTTTCAAGATACTAACTTGAATTTTCAAGATACTAACTTGAATTTTCAAGATACTAACTTGAATTTTCAAGATACTAACTTGAATTTTCAAGATACTAACTTGAATTACTCACCGGACATTTGCCCCCCAGGACATCTGCCCCCATGGGACACCTAAGCCCCCCCTAGGACATCTACCCCCAGAGTTTCCCCTCCCCCCCGGACATTTTTCCTCTGGAACATCTGCCCCCTAGGACATCTCTGCCACCCCCACCCCCACCCTTTAGAACCCTGGACGTTACGAGGTACTTCAAGAAACAATGTAAAATAAATATACATTTTTTACAGTGCATTATTTTACAGGTCAATAGTACAGAGTTAGATAGTAGAATGTGTCCATCGCCCCTTCCTAGCGTGTCCTAGAAGGCGAGTCTTGGGGAGAGGGTCGGGTGGCCGATAGGCTACGCCTTGGTCTGCCATCAATGGTGTCGAGGGTTCGAGTCCCATTCTCTGCTATCTTAGTGACAAGGTGTGGGAGCAGCCTATCCGATCACTTAGGGATACTCCCAAAACATAAGCAGATTATCGGCGATAACACGTAGATTGACATGATTTACGGTGTCGACGTGCTATAAACAACATTCACTCATTCATTTATTTAGGTCAATACTGCCAGTTTATGAAGAGAAGACATGTTTTTTTTTTATCAGAGCTGAGTATAAACGCAATACTCTTTCCCCGTAAGCGTAATAGGGCCATTAACTTATTCTTTTCTAAATTTTAAAGCCTGTAAGTCAATAACTTGAAAATTCCGGGTAGTAAAAGGCCATACAAGAAAGATAATATACGCCCACATAGCAGCCTTGACACAAATACCAGAAATGTAACGGATATGTAACGGATAAAAGTAACTAGTAACTTCAAGTTAGTATCTTGAAAATTCAAGTTAGTATCTTGAAAATTCAAGTTAGTATCTTGAAAATTCAAGTTAGTAACTTGAAAAATTGAAAATAGAATAATAAAAAAAAATATGTGGCCCTATTACGCTTCCGTAATAAAGAGCTGGCAGTTCTCACTATAATAGTTAAAAACTAGATCGTGTAAAGGGAATTTGCTGAAAATTTCAGTCACATTGGTCCACTTTGAACAGAGCATTTAGCGATTGAATTTTAGGTCTAGTCTCGATCATCATTACTAATGTCGGTACGATAAAGACATAGCCTCGATTATCCATTTTTTGATTTAATCATCAACGTGCGTTGAGGAGAAGATCGGATTTTAATCCAGTAAATATCGCAGGCTAACGATGACATCGAGAGTTGATTATGGTCTGGATAAGTTAATTAATGTCTAATTAATAAGTTAGATAACATGTCATGCCTTAAGAAAGACCTGAAATAGGCTTATTTAGCTCTTGCGTTATGTATGTTTAATTGTTCGTTATTCGTCAATATGAAACAGCTGATTATTCAGGTAGAAAAAAGCTTGTTAGAATCTATTTCCGAAGATTTTGAAGTGTTATAAAACCAATGATTATTATTTCTAATATTCTGCAAGAGTTTTCACAGATTACATCAGAAATATTTTGCAACATTGCTAAGATAGGTATTAGAAGTTCGAGATTTGCAAATCTGTTTGGTGTACAAATTGTATTTTGTTGATGATAAATATCATACTAACATCTCCATAGTCTCAAAAGGTGTGTTTACAAACAATCGCGGATGGACAGACACAGTTACGGATTTTAAATACTTACCAGAACAAGACCTGTTAAATTGGTCTGTTGTTGTAGGTATATCACAGCCAGGATAAGAAGCCTCACATATCTAAATCACCCAGTACAGGTGAACGTCCTGTAATAATAGATTCCACTCCTCCTGATAAATCTTGTAGCGTTACACTCTGTATAAATGTGGAATAAACAATTTCATTATTTCACGGATATATAATCATGTTTTGTTAATTAAAGAGCGAGTATTAATTTCAACAATATTTTTTTTCTTTTCAATTCATTTCCCACAATAAATGTAAAATTGCTGAGTATTATGAAAATGTCGTCTTATATACATTCATTGTTAGCAGTGTTTGACTTTGTCAGAAAAAAACCAGAAATCATCTCCTATATTTAAACACATTTCAATAGCAGAATGTTTTGACGTGTATTCTTGTAAATTATTATCCTTTCGTTCGTTCATAACCACAATGTCTGTCCAATTATTGTTCAAATACTTTCAATGGCGATTATACAAATGCTAACTGAAATACATTTACAATTTATTTTCTCAGCTTTTGTCCAATAAATAATTAACAAATCCCGTATAAATTGTATATCTCATAAATCTATATACCCAAGGTATTTAAATAAAAACCATTTTATATTTCTCTTAGACGTTTTAGAGAAAATGTTAACATGTGTTGCCACGGACACCATTGTGGATTGGATGTTGGCATATGAAAATGGCACCAACGTATCCGAATTAAACGTGAGTTCACTTGGTGATCACACACATCAGCTATGTCGAGGCAAAACGATAGTAAGTTATCCGAAAAAAAAACCTTGAATGTAGACAAAAATTTAAAAAATCTGATCTCTATCCTGTTTACAAACTGTTCTCGACATGTGAAATATATCTCATTAAGGTTTTACTGATTCCAAGCTTCACGGCAAATTCAAAAATCGGTAGGATACATGATGCACACTAAATTTGAATAAGTCCGTTGAAATCTGAAATCTCTGTCGCCTTTTCAAAGTTTGCGGAAACGGCAGTGTTGCAGTGTTGCAGGGTGTTAAAAAATCAAATCGATACGGTCCTCTCATGATCCCAAGCTTCACATCAAATTTCAGATAAATCCATCCAAGTCTAACACTTTTTGAAAGGGGGTAGAACTCCAGAAAGGGTGGACACGAAAAGCTTAAAATCGTGTTGAGGTTCATCCGCTTGTACTACAATTTGCAAACCATCCGTAGCCTCTATAGAGTTCACAAGATTTGCGGAAAAGGAGAGTATAACTCTGCGTAACAGAAGGTCACGGAACGTTAAAAAGCGAACGGATGCATCCAATGATGACTATACATGCTTTAAATCAGAGCTTAGAACCATCTGTTTAAAAATTGTACCTCTTGTCACGTTCAAAAGGTTAACGCCATTGTGAATTGGGCTAAATCAGGGGCCGAGGGTCGCAGCACGCTGAAAATAGAATACGTCCCCTGATGACCCCAATGCTTGTAACCTATCTTGAAAAGATCCGTTAAAAAATATTGACGGAGCAACTGGGTTTCGACATTGCCATAAATAAATGTTACCATATTAGATGTAAATTTCCATGTTAATTTTGGTTCTGGTTTACTGCATCCTATACTACACACCAGTTGTACACCAGTATCTGTTAACTGACACAAAAACGGTTCATCATTTACGTTTATGTTTAACGATCCTTTATCTGAAAAATATAATATAGGTCTCATTAGTATTAATATAACAAAATGTCACAATGTGGTATAAATAACACAAGACTTGAGATTTTATTCGTTCTTGACAGCACATCAGGTTTAAGCATTTTTACGGTGTGGTATATGTTAGGAATCGAATTAATAGGCATCAAGAGTCACGGCTCTTTACACTAGGTATCAACATGTTGTTTTAGTATAATAGTTGTACAATAACTGAAATCGGGTGTCTGCTGTAGTTTATATTCAAAAGTTATAGATTCTTTTCATTGTAATCGAAAAGCACGATTGAGAGAAAGGTCCAAATATTTGATTGTTAACTTGTGGCTTCATTACATAATTAAACGTTAAATTGTTAATGTTGAATCTATCCAACTTTAATCATGATAAATCGAGTAAAGTAATAAAGGAAAATAGAAACATAACTTATTATCACCCGAAAGGTAAACAATGAATATCCGTTTAGTTAGTAATCATTGGCCATGTTACTATCATAAAATCTGAATTTGTATAGTAATCATTGGCCATGTTACTACTGCAATGTGTGTTAAATGATAACCCGAGTTATTTCAGTTAAATATATTCAATTACACTGAAACATACAATACACGTGCAATGCATAAGTATTAGATAACGTGCATGCCACCATATTGTATCGGGCTATCCTGTCTATCTTAATATTATTGTTTAACATCAAACGAGTTACATGTTTCAGTCAGTGGGGCCCTATGCCAAAATATTTCATGGGGCCTATTACACAGGCATCCATTAATCAATCAAATACAACATATCAAAAGAAATAACAGTGGTATATGTATGTACATTATACACTGCATGTGTTGCATTAGTTTACATAAGATAGGTCCCTAGCAGAGCGGGACCCTAGGTCATAGCGACAAGTTTCTGGGAGTTTGGGCGTTTGGTCACAGAGCGCTAAAACGTAAACATAATTTTAATCAGGGAATTAAAGACATTATTTTTCCGTGGGTGTAAATACAACATACATACATATTACTAGTATACAAGACCGGGAAGTGAATTAAAGAAACGTATAAATGCGTATATATAGCATTATTTTCATTTAATTTATAAAAACATTAAAAATAAAATATACATTATAAGTATATATAATATACTACCAAATGATATTACAAGAAAAACAGCCAGAAATGTTCCCATTACTAATAATACACCATACACGTTGTTCGTTTATTTAAGCTGAAGTAGGTTGTCATTTATAAACAGAAAATATGATAATAATAGCCTATACGAAATATAACTAACGAAGTCATGCATGAATATACGACAGATATAGTTAAAGCTGTGTCAATGAAAACACGTTATGCAGGTTTTATATTGAGTGATGTGTGAATTTTAAAATAGACAATTTTTATATAATAGACTATTTCTTTAAAACACTTGATTTGTTTATTTTAATTCTTGTCTCGATAAGATAATATTATGTTTGAAGCTGACATGCCATAAAACTACATTTCTTTCATTCTATTTCAATTCATTCATTTATTCATTCATTCTTTCATTGAGGGATGTTTAAAGTGACATTAATTAAAATTTAATGAAAATCGTTTTCTCTTGGAGAATACAGATTGACGATTTTCATCATTGTCATGTAGTTGATGTACTGTTTTACCAGTTTCCAGTAAAATGATTTCCTGACTTTAGAAAGATTTGGTTTATTCAATAATAGAGAGATTATTGTAAACTGTTGTATTATCTGATCTGTGGTATGTTTAACGCTGGCTCAATACAAACCGCCATTTAGGGACTAACACATGGTCAATAATTTTGTCTTGATCCAGTCGGTGAACCAGAGAACATGATCTTAGACCAACTACGTGAAAGCATGGGTTTGATATCACAACACTTGAGTCGATAGTTGATCTACAATACAAGCGTTAGACAAATCTTTGCCTGTAGTGGTAACTTGATCTGCACCTTTATAGCTTGATCATTTCAAAACCTAACTAGTCAATATAATAACCAATCTAAACCCATATTTGTCACATTGAGCTCTACTGGAAATCCAAATCCTGTCTTCTGTGAAGGAAACAATGATATATAATGTTGTATTGAAATAGTGATAAGCATTACTGACAGCTAAATATTATCAACTGTGACGTACTTCTATACTATTCAAAAAAAGTAGGGGATATTTGATTTTGGGGGCATAATACTAAAATATGCAAATGACTACGAAAAAAGTCACTATAGAACCTAACAGAAGAAACATTTCCAGTTACATGTGACGCCCAAACGCACCAATAGCTACCGCATGGAATGCAGGTGATGCTTGGGATCATCATGGGGGTCCAACCCAAGATTTGCACGACTCTGACTTTGAATGTTACAGTCATTGTGGCATTGAATTCCAGGGTGGAAACATCAGTTTAATTGTTTTAGTGACCAGAAAACAAATTTTGATATGCGTCGGCTTACCCAAAATGAAAGGTTACGTGCCCTTGGCATGCTACAGATCGGCACAACACAGGCGGTTGTGGCGCGGACGATGAATGTTTCTCAGTCTGTCATAAGCAGGCTATGGTCCAGATACCGTGATACACAATCTGTACAGGACAGACCACGCTCAGGTCGACCAAGGGCGACAACTCAAGCCCAGGATCGATTTATCCGTACCTTGGCCTTGAGAAATCGTGTCATCACAGCAAATCAGATCAGCGCTCGTCTTCAAACAGACACTGGTGTGAGAGTGAGTGGCCAGACGATTCGGAATCGACTGCATAGGGGTCACCTTCGCGCCCGACGTCCTCGCGTGATCCCTTGTTTGAGAGATCATCACTTTCAGGAAAGACGTCGTTGGTGTAGGGATCGTCAACACTGGGATAATCGACGCTGGAGCAATGTGATGTTTTCAGATGAGTCAAGGTTCACTGTTGATTTTTTGGACAGACGTAGGAGGGTGTGGCGTCGTCGAAACGAGCGCTTCCAAGACGTTAACGTCATCAGACATGATCGATTTGGGGGTGGTTCTGTTATGGTGTGGGGAGGCATCACTGTTGCTGGAAGAACGGCTTTACATGTTGTTGCAGGGCGTGTTACAGGCCAGTACTACCGGGACAACATCTTGGCAGTCCATGTTGTGCCGTTCGCACGACGTCATGGCCGCCGTTTCATCTTCCAGGATGACAACGCAAGATGTCACAGGGCCAGGATCGTTACAGTTTACCTCCAACAACAGAACATCACCACATTACCTTGGCCAGCACTGAGTCCCGACCTCTCCCCCATCGAGCATGTCTGGGACATGCTTGGACAGAGGTTACGTCAACGTCAACAACGTCCTGCCAATGTCCAAGAACTTGCTGCTGCGTTGCAACAGGAATGGGACAATCTGGACCA